GCGAGATCGGGAGGGCTGCGAGGGTGGCGACCGATTTGCCCGTCAGGTCTTGGCGCTGCTGCCGAAAACGAGGGAGGCTGCAGGAGCCAACAGAAAACAGTGCTCACTGCCCTGCTGGCCCCAGCTGGTTTCCCAGCCGATCTTGTGCAGCGCCGCCCGGCTGGGGAGCTGCCCGCCACGGTTCTTGCCGGGGGCTCTCCCTGTCGCCACCGCGGAGCGCAATTCAGCCGCGGCGTGCCTCTGGAATAACACGGCGGCGCCTCCCAGGACAGCCTGCCGACCCGAGACCCCAGCAAGATTTTCCAGCATCCTTGTTGGCCGCCGTCTTATTCCCGAGCCGCCGCTGCTCGCAGCCTGCCACCCGCGGCTCGCGGAGGTCGCCCTCCGATCTCGGAGGGCACCGACGGCACCTCTGTCGCAGGCCTGGAGGTTGACACCAGCACTGATATTGGCGGTGTGCCCCCCACCGAGGGAAGATGCTCCCGATCTCGGTGATGGTGGTCACATTCTGGGCTCCAAGGTGGCCGAACTCTTACCACCAGCACCGAAATCCAGCACATCCTCTCCCCCTGAGGAGGCAACCCTCCGTGTTGGTGTTGGGGTGCCCGTGCCCAGGCCTCCAGCAGCTGCGCCGGTCCTGGCCGGGCCGATGCCGGGGCCCGGGATGGGTGTGCAGGCCCTCCCGCCCTGGGGCCGGGAGGGCACATGCAGCAGGCACCATCAGAGACCCGAATCATCAGGGGTAACTCGGGTCAGGGCTAACTCGGGTTCGTTTTTCGGGAATCCGAACCCGAGTTGCCCCGGGCCCGAGTTACCCCGGATAACTCGGGCGTCCAGAGCCCCAAATCATCAGGGATAATTCGGGTCAGGGCTAACTCGGCTTCGTTTTTCGGGAATCCAAACCCGAGTTACCGCGGGCCCGAGTTACCCCGGATAACTCGGGCGCCCAACACCAGTCCTGGGCCCAAGGAGGGGCCCAGCAAGGAGCGGTGCAGCTGCAGTGATGTGGTGCCCTCCTACATGCCAGCGGCGGGCGAGGGGGGGAAATGAGAAGGAGAAGGCTTTCTTCTCAGAAGGCGGCGGGGCTTCTCGGAAGCCCTCGCGCCTTCTGAGAAGGTTTTGTTTGTCTTCGAGGAAGGCCCCGAAACTTCTCAGGAGGCCGGGGGGCTTCCGAACCTTCTGAGACGGCCTTTTCCTTTTTGCTTCCCTTCTTCGCTCGCCGCCGAATATTATAACTGCATGGGGAAAGAGGGGGGGGAGGCAAGTGCAACCGTCGTTGGCCGATCCCAGTGGACGGCACGTCGTAGCAGTCGTCCCCAGCCGCATCTCGGGCCTCGGCAGGGCCACAGGTGCCCGCGGCCACGGACACCGCGATGCGGACTGATCTGTTATGTTTGCCGTCGTTCGGAGGCAAAGCCTCTCGACTGGCGCAGCCCACCGCGCTCATGTGGGCGCCTCCCTCCCTTCTGGCTCCTACTCCTCCCGCTCCTGTCCTCCTTGCTTACCTCGAGCTCGCCGCCCTCACGGGCTCTCTTGGATCCATGGCTCGTCATGCAGGCGGCCCTTGCAATTAGATATCAAATCGGAGGTTGGGGGGTTGGAGCGGAAGTGACCCCAACCGGGAAACCCGTTTCGGTTTCAGTTCGTGTCGTGCGTGCGGGCGAGGCGAAGCTGCACGAGTTCCACCCTTAGTAGAGGCCATCTATTGCCAAAAGGTCCGCCCCCAGCGCGCCGGGCGTGGCCTCCGGTTGTCGCAGCGGTTGTCCCGACGTTTGTCCCGATTGTTGTGATTGCCCCGATGGTTGTCCCGATGGTTGTGTTCCGATGGTTGTCCCCATGGTTGGCCTGATGGCTGGTCGATGTATATACATATGTAACTACATATATATATAGATAGTTACAGATATATGTTGATAGACATGTCAAAGTTGGTTGTCCCGATGCTGTCCTGGGATGGGCAAGAAACGCATGCGAATCATAAGTATTGCAACGCGTAACTATCGCAAAGCGTTTCGCGCGCTGCGCACGCGCGAAACGCATGCGAATCAAAAATATTGCAAAGCGTTTCGCGCGCTGCGCGCGCGAGGCACACGATACACAGTTAAATATGTAGATATTTAGATAGCTCGATCGATTTATACCTCTATATAGACATTTCTATAGATATATCTGGGTGCTTATATACATATACGTATATATATATATATATATATACATATGGTTGCCCTAAAGAGATGATTCGATACATCGGTCGATCGATAGATGGGCAGACGCGTGCGACGATGGAAAGTCGAAGGCACTACCAAAGAACACAGAGCCATCGCAAATCGACCGCCTCCCCCTTCCCCCCCCCAACCTCCTTATCACCCGCAGGGTGGTCCTATCGGTATCCACATGTTTTGTGACGAGGCTGTGCCGCCAGGGCGACGACGGCCTGAGCTCGCCTCCGTGCCCTCTCGGCAGGCCGGTTCTGACCCCGTGGGCCGCAGCCCCGCGCGTCCAGCCCTCCTGGGCCCGGCCCCGCCCGCGGTAGGGACCTGAGCCGCGCGCGCTCGCCCGCCTGCACGGCGTCGGAAGCTGCAGATGGGGACAACTGCCCAAGGTGGTGGTCGGTGGTGGCACCAAGTCTGCCTGGCCCCGCAGCTGGTCCAGCGTGCCAGACGCCGAGGCCCTCTGCCAGTCCGGGAGTGGAGAACTCTCCGTTATTCCTCGGTCCTGCCTCCGTCTTCGCCCCATCCCTCAGCCGCACGTCTGCTTTCTCTCCGCGCCCTCGGCATTTCCCCTTGTCTTCTTTCTTCTCCTTCACCCTCGGGGCGGAGAGCAACAAGCCTTCTTTCCCAAGAGCCACGGAGCACGTGATGCGCTCGGGTCTGCAGCCCTGTGGCATGGCTGTTATGCCTGCTTGGCCCGCTCTCTTCCTATCTTTCCCTGCCTGCTTGCCTGCTTGCAGAGTAGGAGGAGGAGTAGGAGGGGGAGGAGAAGGAGGCGGAGAAGCTTCCCTGCCTGCTTGCCTGCTTGCCTCAACGTCCACTGGTTCGCCCCTCCCTGGCCGCAGGAGGCGTCGCATCCTTGGGTGGCAGCTGCTGACGCAGAAGAGGCCTTTCCTGCTTTGCCCTCGGCTGTCACTTGCGTACGTGCTGGGTACCCAGACCCCCTCGAGTATTGAACAAAAATCAGGACGGAGGTTTTTCGTCATTTTCGGCTTCTGGGGGCCCTTACCGGTCTTCGGGACCGTCAAACAGCGACTCGCGACGAAAAACCGGTCCTCGGGAGTCTGCGTACCTTGCTCATTCTTGCAACAGGATGCAGCCGACGCAGAGTCACGCGCTTGCCCACTTAGCAGGTGTCCCCACCCATGGGAAACTCATAACTTCTGCCTCGCGCCCACTTTGAACATCCGGAGAACAGCCCAGCAGTAAAACGCGCTGCTTTGGGGCGAGGGCCCGCATCGGGTATAACATCTCGCCAAATCAAGATCGCTCGTTGAGGTGTCTTGCTTTCCGAAGAGAGTTTACGTTCCTCGTTCTGGATCGCGTGGTGGCTCGCTGACGTGCCCCTGGTCGTCTCATCCTGGAGCTCCCCATGGCCAGCGTGGGCCGGTGGACCTCTCCAATTCCCCCGTCGTGGCTGAGCACGATCTGTTTTTTTGTCCCCCCCGACTATTTTGGAGCATCTGTGGAGCATGCTTGATTTTTCGTCCAAATCCGCCTGTAGGAGGACACTGTGACACGCCCGACCTAGTCTTGGCCTCTCAGGGCCCTCACGTGCCCAAGGACCTGGTCAAAGAGCGGCCCAGTTGTGAAACGTTGGTTCCCCCCCACTCTCGGGGCGCAACCGCGAAGGTGTTCTAACGTTTTCGTCGGTGGCCAGAGTCAAGGGAGGAAAACCCACCCAGACCGGACAAGTGGCGTTTACTAAACGGCCCTGGGCGTTTACTAAACAGCCCTGCCCTGTTCGATTCCTTCTTCGGGCTCTTTCACTAAACGACTTCGCGTGCCGGGGCGGCTATTATGGGGGTAGACTTTTTGACCTCTACAGAGATTTCCCATCCTCGGGCTGCGTTCCAGCAGCTGCGCCTCGCCGAGAGCGTTCCGAGGGTCCGAACGGCCGCCAGAGATTCAATTAATGACCCTGAAGCGAGACGGCGAGAATCACCAAGGGTGCAAGGGTGTCCGAGGATGACTCGATTCGGCTGCGTCGCAGTCGGTGGCTTTCCGCCAATTCGTCGGTGGTCGTGTCGTTGCTGCATCGCTGTGCACCTCTTGGCTGCCTGTGGCCTGTCCCTTCAGTTGGTTTCTGTTTGTATTGTCGCCGTGGACGGCCTAGATCATTGCCGTTCTGACTCCTCCCGCCTGGAGGCCGCTCGCAGGGATGCCAAGAAGCGCCGCAAAGCGCAGCAGAAGTCTCAGCAGGAGCTTGCCGCGAAGAGGCGGCGGCAGCTGGCTGCGAAGGGCAAGGGCAAGGGCCTCTGCGGCAAGGGGGATGAGGACTCCGGAGCGCGGCCGCTGCCGTGAGCAGCACCGTCAGTTCAGTCTTCTGCGTATCGAGCCAGGAAGCCTGCATCAGCAAACCTGTCGGACGTCCGCGCATGCTTCTTGCATCGGCGCTGGGCCCTCCCTCCTCGGCGAGCAGAGCACGCCAGGGGTGGCGCTGGAGGCGCCGCCCGTACGATTTCTTTTGCTTCTTCGTTTTGTTGTGTTTGTCGTTCCGTCTTCTGTGTCTTGGCCATCGCTTCAGTATCGGGGGATGTGGTGCTGCCAGCAGAGTCTTTGGCTGCACCGATCATTCAAGGCATCCCCTCCTCGTTGTGGCCGAGCTTCAGCCACTTCTTGGAATCTGGCCCAGTGGAAGGTGCAGCAGGCGCAAGTCTAGGGCCCGGAAGGTGGTCGAGCGCTCTGAGCCCAATCTAATTTTTTGATCCTCGTCGCACGTTGGGGTGGGGGCAGGGAAACTGTAAGCACGCAGGCGCTGATGCAGAGAAGGACCCACAACCGGCGGACATGTCGCGGCTCAGCGCCGCGTGACCCTAGGCCTCCCAGACGGAGCCCGAGCAGATGGGGTCGGAGGATCGCGCCGCATCGCCGATGCATCGGCGCTGTAGCTGCATGGCTGGAGCCCGCCTGTCTCCACGCCAGCGCCGCCGATGCATCGCCGACCCCATCTGGGAGGCCTCTAGCGACCCACTCGCAGCGGAGCGGAGTCCGACCTTGAGCCCGGGGCATGGGATCGCGAGCCGCGCGGGATCTTGGCCCAGGCGTCCTGGGCGGGGGCAGCGCCGACCTGGCCTCGCCGGCCCGGCAGCTGCCAGAGGGGATGCGCGTGGCCGCCCTGCGCGGCGGGTGCCGCGGTGGGTGTCAGAGGAGGAAGAGGTACCCCTACCGCTACAGTCGGGGCCCTGAAGAAGGAACCCTTTTGGTTGGGGAGGGGCTCGGCGTTCCTTGAGTGTTTCACAGCGTTGCCTCAGGCTTTCCTTATGTTTTCGGCAGGAAATCGAAGGTTAACTTATGGAGAAAAGGGGCCTCGTTCCTTCTTTAGGGTTCCTTGAGGTCAACGCCCCGACTGTACCCTTCCCGGGCCTCCCCGGAGGCCCTCGTTGCCGCGGCCGATGTTTCGCCTCGAGACTCTGGTCGGGACGCGTCGCGGGAGGAGAGGTCCGGGGAGGGTAGCGGTGACGGTGCCCGTTCGTCCCCCCCGGTGGGGCAGGGGTCCGAGCCGCGACAGCGCCTCTGCTGCCCGAGGCAAGATGCCCACTAGCACTCCCAAGAATCAGAGCGTCAATTACCTACCCCGCTTTCGCATCCAGGCAAAACCAAGTCATATCACGCGCCTCCTAGTCAAGTGGCTTGCCCAGCGCAGGCCGTAGTTTGGCGTCGCTCGGTATCTCTTGGAAGCGAGGGTGGTCAAAAGCGAGGTAGGAGAATTGTTTGCGCCCCAAAGAAGGCCGCACGAGATGCCCCCACCAAGGTGGGATGATCCTGGATTCTGGTGCTGATGGTATCTCCCCCGAGGGGGCGGGGAAGGCGGTGAGTTGGCGCTGGCGGTGCTGTGCGGTCGTCCCCTGGCCCAGCAGCCCGGGCTCCCACCAGGTTCACGCACGGGGGTGCAGAGGAGCAGTACGCACTCAGCAGCGTGGCCAGGAGAGGTTCGCTCCACCATCGTTTTCTCGGTGCCAGCAGCCTGGCCTCACCATGTTCACGCATGGGTGCAGGAGCAATACGTGCTCAGCAGCGTGGCCAGGAGAGGTTCGCTTCAACACCCTTTTCTCGGTGGTCTGGGGCCTCAGGCCGCAGACTCGGGGATGGTGCAGTGGTGCAGTGGCGTTTGATCGAGAAGCGAGCTCGGCCTGGCGGTTCGCCCCAGGTCATCCGCGGGGGGGCAGGGCGGGGGAGAGGGAGAGGAGCTCGCTCCGCGTGCGCCTCGCACTTCAGGAGGGAAAAACATACACAGACACAAGTCGTCGTCGATCCTCAGGAAGATCTGGGAAGTGGGGTGGCAGAAAACGAACACCCAGAAACCATGGGAAACTATGGGGAATCCTGGGATCTGTGCCTCTCTATCTGGGTGTCCCTGGGCCCCCTTCGCCTCGCACTCCGAGCCCGAGCGAGCTGCCCCCTGCCTGCGGTGGGTGGTCCTGGAGATGTGCGCAGTCCACCGCGATTCCCGCGCACTCGCGCGGCGCAGGGCGCGATGGGTTGGCCTCCACCTGTTGCAACAAGGGGTCGCAGGCCTCCCAGACGAGCACTTCTAGACCACCCCCCCGACCAGCCATGAGAGGGCGGCCTCTTGCCCAGGCCCCCCGTGGAACTCTCCCAGGACAGAGCGCTCATCAGGACCCCCCCCGAAGTCAGCGCGCCCGCTGTTTGTCGTTCTGAATTCCGGGGTAGTTGCTGCGCGCGCTCCCGGAAGCAGCGCGCTCGCGCTCGGAAGTGCTGCTGCTTTGGTGCGATGCTCCACGCGTGTAGATGTGGCTCGTGACATGCAGCTGCATGGCAGAGGTGCTGCATGCCACCTGTTGTCCTCCCGATGGGACGTTCGCGTGCACGGGCATGCGTGCATGGTAGGTGTATAGACAAGAGGATCCTTAACCACACATGGCTGGGGAAGGGAGACGGAAAACAACTATTCGTTTTGGCCATCGATGGTGGATTGTCGTTTGCAATGCCGGATGTGAATCTGCACAGGTTCTTTGTCTCAGTTTGCGTTGTACAATGGTTTTCGATCGAGTTCTGTCTGTGCGACTGGGGCGAAGGGAAAACTTGGTGGTTCTGTGGTGCTGCATTTGTGTTTCTGTGAGCGAGAAGGGTAGCCAACTGTAATCCAAGGGTGCCGCTTGCAACAGCGACCGTGCGTGAATATGTCATTGGGGACTGCGCACTTCATGATCATTACATGAAAGACGAACAGGCAGCATAGTTATAGACTTTCGACTGTCCGCGCGGCTCTCTCGGATCTGCCCTGGGATCAGCTGGCGGCGCCTCCCGCGCGCCTCCGAAAGTTCACGTTTTTCTTTGTTTTTGTTTTTCTTCTGCTACAACAAGCCGATGGTCTGAATCATACTGATGCTGCTGGTAATGATGCTGCTGATGATAATAACGATGGAAGTGACGGGATGCCCTCCCCCACCCTCCCCCGACGAGCGCCGCGCCGGGAGGACCCGCTGGCAGATGTCGCCTGTGTGACGCGCTACGGCGTCTACGGCTTCCGTCCCTCCTCCTCCTCGGAGTCTGGCGAGGACGCCCCAGGGAGAGGATGAGGGACATGATGATTCGGACGGGGCGAGGACGAGGATAGATTCGTTCCAGAGCGGTCCAGGACGCTCTCTGAAAGTTCTGGAGCGCTCTGAGAAGGCCGCGGCGCTGGAGACATCCTCCAGAGCTGGCAAATCTCAGAGTTTCTCGATTTTTCCCCACCCGACTGTATGCTCGTCTTGGCTTCGTCTTAATGATGCTCGTGGTCGTGAAGACGATGACAGGACGACAGCGGTGATGAATATTGATATGTGGATGGTGACGCTGATGGCGGCGATGATGGTAATGGTGATTGGGGCGGTGATGATGACCATGCTGATGGTCTTGGCATAATTGGTGTTGATGACGTTGGTGACGATGATGGTAATAGTGATGGTGACGCCGATGTTGTCGATATCGATGGATGGTGATCATGTCATATGTGGCCAGCTGGTTTGGCACAACCGATGCGGTGGCGATGGTGACGGTGACGACGGCAAAGCCAATGACGACGCAGATGTTGGTAACGCCGATGACGATGATGAGGTCCGTGTGTGGATGATGAAGGTGCTTGAGTGGTGATGGCGGCAATTCCTGCGACTGTCGACGATGACGTGATGCGGCGGCGCTGATGAGGGTGATGGTGGGCAAGTGTGCGCGCGGATATTCAAGAACCATGGCAAACATTTTGTTGGACAGTATTCGATCTCCATGCGTTTCTGAAGACCTCTATTGTGCCATGCTTCTAACACGCTGAGTTCTGACTAGGTCGCGGCGACACGCTCACGTGTGGCGGCGCCCGCGTGTGGCCCGCATGGCGTTATTTGATACGACTTCGCGCACCGGGCGAACGCGGGTGCACCACGTCCTGAGAGGAGAAAGTGGTTTCGGGGCGAGATTGCCACTATGAGGAAGTGCGCCGGGGCACAGAATTTGCAAGACCTGTGATGGGAACCCAACGTCTTGTTGATGTGTGGCTGTGGGGGTCCTTGCAGCACTGGTGCGGTTGGTCCGATTTCGACGTGCGCGCGCGTGCGGACTTTGTGCCATGGTTTTCAAAAGAGTTCCTGGCAAATCGTAGTTTGCGATCCGCGAGCGTGCGCGCATAGCATTGCTCCAGAGGCTTGCGCCATTCCGCTGGCCCCGCGACGAAGGGAGGCCCTGTGGGCGTCCTGGTGGGCGTCTCGAAGCCTCAACCGAGTTTTCTGCGCGCTTGCTGGCTGCTTCTTGGACGCACTCGCGCGCAGGGGATGCCTTTGCAATGTGCTGGTGCTTGGGAGGAGTGGCCGCCGCGCAGTCAGTCGCTACTCTTCGCATGGGGCTCACTTATCCTACGCTCCTCGGCAGGGGGCACTGGCAGATGTTGCGCGTCGCGCGTGAAGCGACATGCTCCCAGAATGACGTCGCAGATGGTCGACATAACCTTCCCATCATGGAATTCGGAGAATGAGGGGCAAAGAGGAAAAAGGATTACACAGATATCGACGACGGTGAGAGTGATGAGGATAAGGAGGAAGATGCCGAGGTTAACGGGACGGCTTGTGATGTTGCCCGGGCTTTGCTTGATGCCCCCCTCGTGCAGTTGGGGGGTGTTTGGGGGGATTCTCGGGAGCCTTTTGGGGAGCCTCGTTTGAGAATTTGTGAAGCCTCCTGGAGCTTATGGGGGCATCTTCGCGGCCTGCTGGCGGCCCAGGTGGTGGCCTCTTGGATATTCGTCGAGGCTCCCAGGGGGCTTGGGAGGCCCTTTGGTGTGGCTACTTGGGGGCTTCTTGGAGCCAGTTGGGCGTCTTGGGTACCATCTCATGGGGGAGGTCTCCCAGGGCCTCTGCGGGTTCCCCCTCTTGGGCCTCTCTCGGGCTTCTCTCGGGACCACATTCCGGATGTTTTGTCGTCTTGGGGACCCCGTGGGCCGTCTTGGGGCCCTCCTTGGCCGTCTTCGGGCCGTCTTGAAGCCCTCGTCTTGGGCCAGCTTGGGCCAGTTCGGGGGGGCCTCTTTGGCCATCTTGAGCGTGCAGATGCCAGAGAGCCGAGAACGCGAAAAGCATGCAAGCACCACTGGGACAGCAATGTGCGTTTACCCCACCCAGGGCAGCGTTTCGTAGCCCCATAGGGAGCTCCACCGAAGGCCCCAGTGGGGGTGTTCGCATGCGGTTCCCCCACCCAGGGCAGCGTTTCGTGGCCCCATAGGGAGCTCCACCGAAGGCCCCACTGGAAGTGTTCGCATGCGGTTCCCCCACCCAGCGCAGCGTTTCGTGGCCAATAGGGAGCTCCACCGAAGGCCCCAGGGGTGTGTCCGCATGCGGTTCCCCCACCCAGGCAGCGTTTCTGTAAAAGCCCCAGAGGGAGCTCCACGAAGGCCCAGTGGGGGTGTCCACATGGCGGTTCCCACACCCAGGGGAGCGCGTTTCGTTTTAGGCCCCCCCCCCATAGGGAGCTCCACCGAAGGCCCCAGTGGGGGTGTTCGCATGCGGTTCCCCCACCCAGGGCAGCGTTTCGTGGCCCCATAGGGAGCTCCACCGAAGGCCCCAGTGGGGGTGTTCGCATGCGGTTCCCCCACCCAGGGCAGCGTTTCGTGGCCCCATAGGGAGCTCCACCGAAGGCCCCAGTGGGGGTGTTCGCATGCGGTTCACCCACCCAGGGCAGCGTTTCGTAGCCCCATAGGGAGCTCCACCGAAGGCCCCAGTGGGGGTGTTCGCATGCGGTTCCCCCACCCAGGGCAGCGTTTCGTAGCCCCATAGGGAGCTCCACCGAAGGCCCCAGTGGGTGTGTTCGCATGCGGTTCCCCCACCCAGGGCAGCGTTTCGTGGCCCCATAGGGAGCTCCACCGAAGGCCCCAGTGGGGGTGTTCGCATGCGGTTCCCCCACCCAGGGCAGCGTTTCGTAGCCCCATAGGGAGCTCCACCGAAGGCCCCAGTGGGGGTGTTCGCGTGCGGTTCCCCCACCCAGGGCAGCGTTTCGTGGCCCCATAGGGAGCTCCACCGAAGGCCCCAGTGGGGGTGTTCGCACGCGGTTCCCCCACCCAGGGCAGCGTTTCGTGGCCCCATAGGGAGCTCCACCGAAGGCCCCAGTGGGGGTGTTCGCATGCGGTTCCCCCACCCAGGGCAGCGTTTCGTAGCCCCATAGGGAGCTCCACCGAAGGCCCCAGTGGGGGTGTTCGCATGCGGTTCCCCCACCCAGGGCAGCGTTTCGTGGCCCCATAGGGAGCTCCACCGAAGGCCCCAGTGGGGGTGTTCGCATGCGGTTCCCCCACACAGGGCAGCGTTTCGTAGCCCCATAGGGAGCTCCACCGAAGGCCCCAGTGGGGGTGTTCGCATGCGGTTCCCCCACCCAGGGCAGCGTTTCGTGGCCCCATAGGGAGCTCCACCGAAGGCCCCAGTGGGGGTGTTCGCATGCGGTTCCCCCACCCAGGGCAGCGTTTCGTAGCCCCATAGGGAGCTCCACCGAAGGCCCAGTGGGGGTGTTCGCATGCGGTTCCCCCACCCAGGGCAGCGTTTCGTGGCCCCATAGGGAGCTCCACCGAAGGCCCCAGTGGGGGTGTCCACATGCGGTTCCCCCACCCAGGGCAGCGTTTCGTGGCCCCATAGGGAGCTCCACCGAAGGCCCCAGTGGGGGTGTCCGCATGCGGTTCCCCCACCCAGGGCAGCGTTTCGTAGCCCCATAGGGAGCTCCACCGAAGGCCCCAGTGGGGGTGTTCGCATGCGGTTCCCCCACCCAGGGCAGCGTTTCGCAGCCCCATAGGGAGCTCCACCGAAGGCCCCAGTGGGGGTGTTCGCATGCGGTTCCCCCACCCAGGGCAGCGTTTCGTGGCCCCATAGGGAGCTCCACCGAAGGCCCCAGTGGGGGTGTCCACATGCAGTTCCCCCACCCAGGGCAGCGTTTTGTAGCCCCAGAGGGAGCTCCACCGAAGGCCCCAGTGGGGGTGTCCACATGCGGTTCCCCCACCCAGGGCAGCGTTTCGTAGCCCCAGAGGGAGCTCCACCGTAGGCCCCAGTGGGGCTGCCCTCATGCGGTTCCCCCACCCAGGGCAGCGTTTCGTAGCCCCAGAGGGAGCTCCACCGAAGGCCCCAGTGGGGGTGCCCGCATGCGGTTCCCCCACCCAGGGCAGCGTTTCGTGGCCCTACAGGGGGAGCTCCACCGAAGGCCCCAGTGGGGCTGCCTGCATGCGGTTCCCCCACCCAGGGCAGCGTTTCGTAGCCCCATAGGGAGCTCCACCGAAGGCCCCAGTGGGGGTGTTCGCATGCGGTTCCCCCACCCAGGGCAGCGTTTCGTGGCCCCATAGGGAGCTCCACCGAAGGCCCCAGTGGGGGTGTCCACATGCAGTTCCCCCACCCAGGGCAGCGTTTTGTAGCCCCAGAGGGAGCTCCACCGAAGGCCCCAGTGGGGGTGTCCACATGCGGTTCCCCCACCCAGGGCAGCGTTTCGTAGCCCCAGAGGGAGCTCCACCGTAGGCCCCAGTGGGGCTGCCCTCATGCGGTTCCCCCACCCAGGGCAGCGTTTCGTAGCCCCAGAGGGAGCTCCACCGAAGGCCCCAGTGGGGGTGCCCGCATGCGGTTCCCCCACCCAGGGCAGCGTTTCGTGGCCCTACAGGGGGAGCTCCACCGAAGGCCCCAGTGGGGCTGCCTGCATGCGGTTCCCCCACCCAGGGCAGCGTTTCGTAGCCCCATAGGGAGCTCCACCGAAGGCCCCAGTGGGGGTGTTCGCATCCGTCTCCACTACCCAGAGGTAGCGCCGCCGAAAACGATATTCACACTTGCGGTATTCACAGTTGCATATGGTTGGGTCCTTCGCCAGGCTAATTTCTGGCGCCTTCGGCCGTCTTGAGACCACCTTGGATGTTAGGCCTCGCCGGCGTACTGGAGCTCCGGAGCCATGTTAGCCAGCCTCTTGGGATTCTGGCGGCCACGGAGGGCGGATGTGTAGGCTCCGAAGGCCCTGGGAGTGCATTGGGGAGCCCGGGGACCCCCCCCCACCTCCTTCGCACAACCCCGCCCCTCAAATGCAATTGTGGACGTTCGGGGAGGGGGAATACAGTGGAGGTCCATGCCAAGAAACACCCTTCTTACCTCCAGGGTGCGTTGTGGAAGGGCCCCTACTGTAGGGGAGACGTCCCGCGCGCCTTCTCACCCCCCTGCAAGCGGGAGTCGGCGGATGTGACAGGCATGGGGGGAGGGGCGGGGACAATGCCAGGCCTGCCGGGGATGCTACAAATTCGTATCGGAAATCAACGACGAGGCATAATCATATGTAATTTGCAACGTCCCCGGGGGTGTCGATAAGTCGGGGGGGAGAGGGTGGTAGCGCGGTGCAATCGATGTGGTGCATAACAATTGTTGTTCGCGGTGAGTTGTCAATTCCACTGCTCGCGCAATCATCCCGGCCACCCGCCCGCAACTTAGTGCAAAACCCATGCGGCGGTGATTGCGATGACTGCTTGGAGCTGGCTGGCGCATCGCTGAGGCCGCGTTAATTCGCGCAGACTTGCGCGCAGAGCGGCGAGCTAGTCTGGCGCGACCGACGCGGCCGCGGTGGTGCGGAACGATGGGAACTTCCCAGCGCGTGCCGCGCGCTGACGCGCGGGCACTCCAGTGCGAGTCTGTGGCTCTGGCGGGCGCGGACTCATGTCGACGTCGACAACGGCAGACAAGATGATGCGAGTAGCGACGCTTGTGACGATGCTAACGTTGACGACGGCCCATGACGGTGCCGATGGTAATCACGCCCATGACGATAATGGTGTCCACGTGTCGGTGGTGAAAGTTTTGGAAGGAATTTGACGTGCGACCGCGGCCGACGCGCGCGAGTGGCCCCTCCCGCCCCCACCCCCGAGCACGCGCCCAAGGGCGTTCGAACGACTCCAGCATGCCCGCGTGAATGGCTCGTTTGGACGAATTTGATGAATCTCATGGATCACGCTTGATTCCGGTAGGAATTTGCAAGAGCGCGCGCAGACCTTGATTTGAACAATCGCGTGGCAACAATCATATGTTTTCGGGGAATTCGGTCTTGAACTCCGTAAGACACTTCAGGTCTTTGAAAGGATGTCGGTCTGTGCGCGCGACGGCGCGCGCGTGCGTTCCTCGTCCCGTTTGTTGCAAGATTTTTTGGCTATCGGTGGTTTTAGCAAACGAGCTTGCGCGCGTCTGCTGCAAGGAATGAGGGGGGGATTGCTGGCTTGTTTGGGATGGTAGGATTTCGTTTCTAATGCGAACGATGGGGCAGGATCGAATGTGTATTGCACATCCCCAGGGGGAGCGGATATCCACAGCCTCGGGGGTGGTGTGGTGTGTGGTAGATCCTAATTCTCTGTGGGAGGACAATGAATGCAACACAACGCAGAGCACCACGAAACAATGCAATGTAATTCAATGCGCAGCATTTCAAAGCAATGCAGAGCAACGCAAAGCAATGCCGAGCAACGCAGCAATGCAACGCAACGCAATGCGACATAAAGGCGAAACAGCGCACATCCGCGCAGCTCGAGACAGAGGAACGCAACGCAACGCAACGCAATTTCAAACAACGCGGAGCACTGCGAAGCACTGCGTGCGAAGCAACGCGAAGCAACGCAGAGCATGGCAAAGCACTTCGGAGCAGCGCGGCGCAGTCGGCGACGCACGGCAGCGACGGGCGGCGCCGCGTGGCCACCAGCCGGCCCGGCGGACACCGGGGCCCGGTGGTGGCGACGGGCAGCGGCGGCCACGAGCTGGCCGGAGTGGCGCTGGGGCCCGGCTGCGTTCGAAGAGGAGCAAAGGAAGCCCCAAGTGGAACCACTGCTTGAGGGCAGCGCGCACACACACACACCTGTTCGCCTCGGAGTCGCAGGAGGGGGCCTCGCTGTCGAGGGCTCGACGTGTCGGCACGTGCTCTTCGGCGGAAGGTGGCGGCCGACCGGCAGAAGAGAGATTGGGGCGGCTTCGCCGGCGGATGGCCGGCGGACGCTGGCAGAAGTATAAACGCTCCCCAGGATTGCTCGTCTTTCTACGCAGGGTTTCTGGAGTCGACCCTGTGGGTATACACATACACACATAATTACATTTACACGCGTGATTTAGTTCTCATGCTCGCATGCATGCACACATACAGAAATTTAGCCACATCCTGTATATATGTGTGTGTGTAGAGAGAGAGAAACAAAGAGAGACAGAGGAAGAGATACTGTCATACATACATACATATCTATGTGTATATACAGGGAGAGAGAGAGAGAGAGAGAGAGAGAAAGACACAGAGAGAAAGAGAGAGAGAAGGAGATAGAGAAAGAGAGAGAGAGAGAGAGAGAGAGAGCGAGAGAGAACAAACGCACTAAGTCAAAAGAGAGAGAGAGAGAAAACACAACAAAGAAAACAGGATTAAGACAATGAGAAAGGGCGCAGGCAATGGAGAGGGTCACCCGTTGTATCCCTGGCGGTCCTCTATCGTTTTCCTCGTGCACCCGTTTTTTTCTCCTCTCCCCTGCCCTGGCCCTGCGGCGGTTTCTCTTTTCCCTTTACCCCAGCCCGCAACAGCTTCCCCATCGGAACTCGACGGTCGACTCGGCGTCCGTCGTCCTCGGTCGACCCCCCAACGTGCTGAAGACACCTTAACTCGTTGCGCGATATCCGACCTCGAGCCGAACATTCGGGTCGGGTCTGGAGGCCGGCGCGGTGATTTTGGCGAACCCAGGTCGGGGCAAGGTTTTGTCAAGGACTGGCATGCCTCCTACCAGCCCCCCATTCCCCCCCCGCTCTGCGATGTGGACGTGGCTCACAATTGCCCATATAGCTACAGAGAGTTGCCAACTAAATGTCCAACATGGGCAGTCATGTGAACGACGCCAAAGAACGGGGTCGTCTGCGCCGACATTGGCGCGCAAGCTGCCCGCGTAAGGCCGCGCGCAAGCGCCCCCGCTTCAAATGTGGCGTGCCGCGCGGGCGTCCCGCGTCAGCCACCGCGTGCGCGATCTCGCGCAAGACCCGTTTTTGATCGTCGCTCATGTTTTCTTTTGTTCGGGAGGGGCTAAGGGGCCGATTCTCACGCAACCACGACAGCACGTTCTTCGCTTGTTTTTGCGGCCTCGGGAGGCCCGCCCCCCGGACCGCAACAAGAAGGGTCCAGTCACGAAAAGCCCGCCCTGGGGATCGGAATCTTGGCTGCACGTAAGAGTGGCCCTTCGCCGGAATGACCTCTGGTGCGGGCCCACCGTGGCCCCCGGCTCGCCGAACGCGATGCGATAGCAGCGTCTCGCGTGCATGGGTTTGGCCCCGCCGCGGCCCCAGAAAGCCGCGCACCAAAGGTCACTCCTACCCAGGGTCGCTCCTGCGTGTAGCCGACTGTGTGGAGAAGAACAAACATCACGTCGGGACTCCCGGGGGCCCTTGAGTTTTCCTCCGTCCGGGGCTGCGGCGCAGCTGGGTTGCGGTAGCATGCAGCGCTCGTTGCCGAGGCCGCCATGTGCCGCTGCCGGACGAGCGAACGTTCCCTATCCTTCTTCTCGCGCCCCCCTTGCCCAGGACTCCGACTGGGAGGCCAGTGCAGGCGGCGCGGATGGTGGTGGCGTCTCGCGAGGCCCACTGCCAATCCAAGACAGATCCGAGCAGACCTCCGCAAGTTTATGTTGATGCCATGTTTATCCCGACCTTGATCGAGTTTAGACATGTCAAGTCGATCCATCAAAGTAGGCTGATGCATTTGTTTCAGTACCGGTTCAGCATATCTTCCCTTGGGAACTATACTCAGCCAAACTTGCTATGGACGATGTGCACACATGGCGGAACGCCGCAGCCTCAGGAACCAGGCGGTAGACCGCAGGAGCCTTGCAGAGGCGCGACAGCATGCGGCTTCAGGCGACACGGGCGGCAGGCCAAGGAGGCACCGATATGGCCCGTGAACGACCCGCCCTCAATCCGTCCGTGAAGCTGTTGACACTTTTTTTGTTAACGAATGTGCGCGGCGCTAGGGCGAAAACCACATTTTTAAAACGACCTGCCCTAAACCCGTGAAGCTCTTGCAAATGTTTGGAACGAATGTGCGCGGCGCTAAGGCGAGATTCACATGTTGACAACGACCCGCCCTCCCTCCGTGAAGCTTTGCCTAAAATCGAGTGCGCGCGGCGCCAAGGCGAAAACAACATTTTGAAAACCACCCGCCCTCAATTCGTGAAACTCTGGCAATTTCTTTGAAAGAATGTACGCGGCGCTATGGCGAGATGCACATTTTGAAAACGACCCGCCCTCCATCTGTGAACCTGTTGCCAATTTCTAAGGTTCAGGGTCATAAGTGGTGAGGGAGTCTCATGGGTACGGCAGGGAATTTTTTTTTTTTTAAAACGTTACTTATATGGAAAGGAATGGAGGGAGGAGGGAGGGATTGAGGCTGAGCTGGCGACATGGGAAAGGAGTGAGAGGAGGCGGAGGAGGAGGGAGGAGGAGAAGAGGATGAGGAGGAGGAGGGGGACACGCGATGGCGAAGAGGCAGGGAGGAGAAGGAGGAGGAGGAGGAGGAGGAGGAGGAGGGGGAAGGAGGAGGATGAGGAGGAGGAGGAGGCCATGAGGAGGAGGAGGAGGAGGAGGAAGGGAACAGGAGAGGAGGGAGGAGAACAGGAGGGGAAGAGGAAGAAGAAGAGGAGGAGGAGGAGGAGGAGTAGGAGATGGAGGGGGAAGGGGACGTGGACGTGGAGGACGAGGATCCTGAGGATTTGGGAGGAACACGGGGAAGATGATGAAGAGGAGGAAGTGGAGGAGGAGGAGGACAAGGATGAGGATGAGGATGAGGATGATGATGATGAGGAGGAGGAGGAGGAGGAGGAGGAACAGGGGAAAGAGGATGGAGAGGAGGAAGGGGAGGAGGGAGTAGGCTTGAGGAGGAGGAGGAGGAGGAGGAGGCGGGAGGAGGAGGACAAGGACGACGTGGAGGAGAGGAGGAGGAGAGGAGAAGGAGGAGTGAGGAGGAGGAGGAAGCTTCCACGCCCAAACATGGGATCCGGAGACTGGATCAACGGGATCTGCGAGGCTCCCTGGCATGCCCACCGCGGGCGCAGCTGCAGGCGCCGGTGCGGCAGCTGATGCTCGGGGAAGGCCGGCCACTGCGATCGCCCTTCTCGGGGGCGGCCAGGGGAAGGGGCAAGGGGGAGCCTCGGGGCTCAAGAGACGGGGGGCCATGCAAACGGGGGTCAGCCAGAGCGCCAGATCTTGCAGGATCCTGCAGAGCCCAGGGCGCACTGACCCAGGCTTGGGCGCAGGATCCTGCAGGATCCTGCAAGGTCTGGCAGGACTTTGCCGGATCCTGCAGTGCCCCGCTGGCCCGGAGGGGAGCGGCTGCTTTCCGCAGCTTCTGGCTGCCTCGAGGCGACGAGCTCGTCGTGGGGGAGGGCCCAAGGGTCCAGGCCCCGTGTCCCCCATGCCAGAGGCGTGGGGTGCTGACCACGGCTAGGGAGTCAGAGGAGCTCAGGGGCAGCGAGAGGTGGGATAGGCACAATTAAGGGGGGATGCATCGACCCCCAACCGTCCACTCGTCGCCGATCGGGGCTCGAGAGACTCACCCCGCCCAGGAACGCGGGGATTCACTTTCGGTGGCCCATCGCCGATCTATCGGCGATGTATCGCCGATTACAGGTCGATGTTCCCCCTTTTGACATTCCCCACTTCTCGCTGCCCCTTAAGAGGAGCAAGAGGTCATGATCGTGGATAGTGATCTGTTCCACCCACCACGCTCGGGCGCGACACGCTAACCACTTCCACGAAACGAGCGTCAAGGCCCCGAGCCGATCCTAGCTTCCAACCCCGTGGAGCGGAGCAACGCGCCATCCGCTCGGAGGGCGGAGCGTTTCGCCGGGACCGCCGCCGCGGAGGTTTCTGACCCTATCTTGGCCGGGGCCATGATCTATCCCTCTGGATTTCACGGCCCCCGTTGCTTTGTTTCGGTGCCTCCCTTCGCCTCCCCGCCCCTGGGCCGCGCGCGTGCCTGATCTGCGCCCTCCCGGCGCCCCCGGCTTCTGCCGCTGGGCGCGACGGGGAGGGCGGCGGCGGCGGCGGCGGCCCCTCGGGTGCCCAGCTCTCCGACGACATGCGTGCATCCCCAGACTTATGATGTTCCAACCGACTTTAGCCTTGACCACCAGGAAGAATGTCGACCATCAAAAAAAAAGTCTACCGAAACTGAAGGGTTTTCACATGTCGCGCCCTGGGAGACACTCGCCCGACACTCTTTCGACACTTGTTCGACACTTTTCCGGGTGCTCGAAATTATTTCTCGGATGTGGTCCTTAAGCACGATGGGAGCAACATAACCCCAGACATGCGACGTCCTTATTTTTCCAATGAGGGGCCCCTGGAAGTCCCGACCCTTTCCCCAGGACCCGTCTTTCAGTCCGAGCCGTTTTTGTTACGGCCCCGAGGCCCGGCGAGGGCCGGCCCGAAGCCGAACTTGGCCAAAAACCTCTCGTCCTGATTGTTGTGCGGCGCGATGATGTCTGGGTCCATCCCGGCGTTTTTCCTCGAGTTCGGCTTCTGGGGGCCGTGGTCGGGGCCCCGTGACCGGCAAACGCGGCTCCTGGATCCGGGAGGAAGAGCAAATCCAGTGAAAGGGGCCTGCGGGGCCTCCGGGGCCGCGCATGTCAAAGCATCAAGTCGTCGGATGTCTGGATCCAGGTGTTGCCAAACTGTCGTGATCCCTGAGGTCCTGGCGTCGCAGACGATTCGCGTAATCCCACCAGCCCATCCAGAAACGGTGCCCAGGCGAGTTGCCCTGATCAGGGATGTGGAGGGGCATGCAGTGGAATGAATGGCCGGGGCAGCCGTCATATTCCAAGAGGGGGAGGATTGAGGAGGAGGAGGAGGAGGAGGAGGAGGAGGAGGAGGAGGAGAGTGAGGGGGAGGGGGAGGAGGGAGGAGGGACGATGGAGGAGGAGGAGAAAAGGCGGATGGTGGGAATTGGGATGGAGGAGTGAGGAGGAGGAGGAGGCAGGAGGAAGGAGAAGAAGGAAGAAGAGGAAGAGATGGAGGCGGAGGAGGAGGAGGAGGAGGAGGAGGAGGACAAGGAGGAAGTGGAGGAGGAGGATGAGGACAAGGAGGAAGTAGAGGAGGAGGAGGAGGATGAGGACAAGGAGGAGGAGGAGGAGAAGGAGGATGAGGAGGATAGCGAACCAGAAAGGCCAGAGGCTTCGCGGATGCCTCTCGGAGTCTCTTCGGATGTGTTTTGACAGCTTCTTGGAGGCCTCTTGGTGAGTGTTAGGGGCCTCTTGGCGGCCGCGGGGGCCTCTTGCATCATTTTGGGTGCCTCGGGGGAGCCTCTTGGGCT